TTTGGGCAGCAGTGACAAATGCATCAATGAACTGGTGAAGTGGTTGTCACGGGCCCACGCACAGTAGAGGTCCTGTCCCTGGGATCAGATTGCTCCTATAGCTGCCCTCCACATTCCCAACACCCTGGCCCCCAGTGAGCACCTGTCCCCTCAGCATGAGTTTCCAGTCAGACTCTGTCTGCAGACCCCTGTATGAGCATGTAAAGCAGGTGGGGCTCTCGGGGGTACTAATGTTTGCTTTTTGTCATTGAAGTGGAAGGAAGGTCTCAGGGTTCTGTTCGTGCCTTCACCCGGACCTTCATCTCTATCCCTGCCAGCTATTCCAGGTGAGTGCCGTATCATGGGTGGGAACCCCTGTCCCAGCCTGGGCTCAGGGGTGTGGGAATGTGGTGGTGCCCACCTTAGGTTTTCTCAATACTGTGGAAAGCCAGCAGGTAGATCCAAGGAGCAGTCTAGCCTAGTGGTTAAGAAGGGCATGGGCTCTGGAACTGGAATGTGGCTTCTCTCCTTGGTCCCAGCACTCATTGGCTGTGTGACCTTGGTCAAGTCACGTGGCCTCTGTGCGACTCAGTGTCTTCCTATGACAGCGGGGATCAGACTGTCTACTCCTTGGGCTGTTGTAAAGGGTAAATGTGAAATCTTCCCTGGCTTCAAGATGAACCTATAAATCTAATGAAGCTGGTAGACACTTCCCAGAGGTGGGCTTTGTGGGGATATAGGAATCCAAAGATCCTCGGGGACAGACACAGGAAGGTTATGGGATGAATCTGGTGGCTGAGTGGCTTGTTGTTGAGGGTGTGGTGGGTGGTCCATCCGTCCAGTTGTCTGAGGGCTTATTTTTCTTTCAGTCTTTTCATTGTGAATGACGAGCTGTTTGTGAGGGACACCAGCCTTAATAAGACCCTGAGCACTTTCTCCATCTCAGTTCCCACACCCTCTGCTAGTTCCATGCCCACGCTATCCCAGGAGCAGCAGCAAATGGTACAAGATTTCTCCACCCAGTCTGAGATGAACCTCCAGTGGTCTCAGAAGTGAGTATGGGGTGTGCATGGCGATAAGAGGAAGCTGGGAGACTGAGGGAGTGAATAATATGAACACACAGGCAATTTGAAAAAATAAGTATTTGGATATTTTACTTCCAGAAAAAAGTAAGCTCATGAAAAATGTATCTTAATTTTATGATAATATATGCAAAGAATTTTAAAACAGTATCATGCTCAGATGACATAATCTTTTATATGAAAAATCCTAAGATATCCACTAAGAAACTATCTGAATAGATAAACAAGTTCAGCAAAGTTTCAGGCTACAAAATTGATACACAAAAATCATTTATATTTCTATGCACTTACAGTGAATTATCCTACATCAGAATTAAGAAAAAATTTGATTTATAATAGCATCAGATGAATAAATACTTAGGAAGAAATGTAACTAAAGAAGTGAAAAATTTATACTTTGAAATCTTCAAAACAGTGAATAAATTAAAAAAACCTTAAAAAATGGAAGGACATTCTATGTTCATGGATAGGAAGGCTTAATATTGTTAAGATGGTAATAATATTCAGAGTGCGCTACACAGTCAACACCATATCTATTAAAACCCCAGCTGACTCCTTTCCAAAAATTGATGAGGTGATTCTAAAATTCACATGGAAATGCAGTGGACTCAGAATAGTCAGAACGATATTGAAAGGGAAGAGTAAAGTTGAGGATTCACAAGTCCTGATCCCCACAATTTCAAAACCTACTACAAAGGTACTGTAATCAAGACTACATGGCACTGACATTTGGATAGGCCAATGCAATAGAAGTGAGAGTCCAGAAATAAACCCTGACATTTGTAGCCAATTGATTTTCAATGAGGTGCCAGAAAAAATAATGGAGGAAAAAATAATCTTTTTAACAAATGGTGCTGGGACTCTTGGGTATTCACGTGCAAAAAAATGAATTTTGACCCCATCACACACCATATACAAATATTGACACAAAATGGATCAAAGACCTGTAAGCTCTACAAAGTAGAATCTCTTAGAAGAAAACATAGGTGTTTATCTTCATGACCTTGAATTAAGCAATGGTTTCTTATAATGACACCAAAACACAAGCAACCAAAGAAACAAATAAATTGCACTTCATCAAAAATAAAAGCTTTGTGCATCAAAGGATACTATCAAGAAAGTGAAAATACAACCCACAAAATGGGAGAAAATGTTTTCAAATCTCATATCTGTTAAGGTCTACTATCTGGAATACTGAAGGATTTTACAGCTCAACAGTCAAAAGATAAATACCCAATTGAAAAGTGGGGAAAGGATTTAAAAGACATTTCTCTAAAGATGATAAACAAATGACCAAAAAGCACACGAAAAAAGGCTCAACATCATTACCTATTAGGGAAATAAAAATTAAAACAGCTGTGAGATACCATTTCACACATACTAAGATGGCTTTAATCAATGAAATGAAAGATAAGCATAGGTGAATATGTGGAGAAATTAGAACTCTCATATATTATAGGTATGAAGGTTCAGTGGAGCATTCACTTTGGAAAAAAATTTGGCAGTTCCTCAAAATATTATACATGGTGTTACCATATGACCAAGTAATCTCACTCCTAAGTATATACCAAGAGAAATAAAACGTATGTTCACTCTAAAACTTGTACAGGAATGTTCATAGCAGCATTATTCATAATAGCCAAGAAGTGGGAACAACCCAAATGTCCTTTAGCTGATGAATGGATAAATAAATCTAGTACATACATACAGTAGACTTATTCAGCCATTAAAAAATACAGTTCTGATATATGTCATGACATGGATGAACCTTGAAAACACTAAGTGAAAGAAGCCAGCCACAAAAGGTCGTGATGGTAAATAGTATTGTTTCTTAATTACCCTTTCTGCTATTTGAACATCTTTCTTGATCAGTATATATTCAGTTTCCTTGTTCTTTGGCACAGCTCTACTTTTCTGTTTTGAATTCTAGTGGGAATGAATGCTAGTGGTAGGTATTTTGGTTTTCACTGGGTCTTTCTTCGTCATTACACATAGTGCTCTTACTGGTACATGTGTCCCAGCAAGACAGTGGCATAGATTTAGCGGTGGAATTGCACGGTCAGCATGTCCGTACTGTGGAACCAATGGAGATCACCTGTTCTTCTCCCACTGCAGGTGCCTTCAGGACAATGACTGGAACTACACCAGAGCTGGTCAGGTCTTCACTAAGTTCAAGGTGAGGTCTGGGAATCAGGTGGGTTAAAGATGAACATTTCTGAGCCTTCAGGAAAGCCAAGAAGGTGGAGGCCAGTGTCCTGGGGGTGAAACTCTGGGAACTGGCTCTTCTAATATCCTGACTCCTTCTCTCCAGGCCGAGGGCAAGATCCCAGAGGAGGCCTTCAAACAAATCCCCTAAAAGGAGCCCTTGGATGACTCTTTGTCTACATCCACATCATCTTTGTTTCTCTCTTCTCCAGCCTCAGGCCACGCCCATGGCTGAGGTTGGAGGCCTGGCCAACTAAGAAGCCAAAGTTATCTTGTAGGCCAGGTAACATAACCACCTGAAGGGTCAGTTGTTCTGTGTATTTTCATACTCACGATTGCTGTTTATTTTCTTAATAAAGAGTGATGTTGCATGTTGCATGCTGTGTGTCCTCCATCTCTCTTCCCTGCCTCAACAGTGAGCCAGTGGGTCCAGGACTAAAAGGCCCTGCCCTCCTCCCCCATCCCCATTGACCCTGGCAGTCCCTAGCAGATGCATCGGGCTTGACTTCATAGGTAGTTTGTCAATAAATTCTAATGAGAAGGGCACACACTGCATCCAGGGATTGTTTTTTGGAGACAGTGTGGCTCAGTCAGATGTTCTACCTGGAGGCTCTCAGAAGCAGGCACCTGACGGGAACAACAGGGTCTTTGCAAGGGATGCCTACTGGCTGGTGAGGACTGTGGAAGAAAGGAAAGAAAATGGAAATGCACACATATTTTACTTCTTATTCCTCATCATTTGAATATTTCCAAAGGCCATACCATGAACAGTTTTAAAATTTACACACAGGTGAATGAGAAACAGGCCTTTTCACACCTCTAACCTTTCTTCCATAGGGCTTCTCATCCATCCACTGTACTGCTTCCTCCCCCTTTCTGAAGGTGCACTGTGGGAGGGATCTCACTCAAGCACCTGAGGGTGGGGGAGAGTCAGTCTGTCTGCCCATTCGTTTCTCATAGAGCTGACACCATATGCTCCGTGTCCATATGCTTGAGGGGGTTCGGCTGTTTCATTTCACTTCCAAACAAACAACAGTAACGTGGAATCTCACATTATGGTCAGTTCTGTGCAACTTTCTCATCAACTGTCAACTAGCAGTTCAGAATTGGAGGCAAGAGTTGAAAGGGACACTTGCCCAACTTATTTTCTGCAGTTACATAGTGTTTGCACTTTAGACAACAAGCAAGTGTAATTTTTGAAATTAAAATAATAGCAGTACCAAATTGCAAGTTACAATTCTATAAATTATGACACAAGTGAGGTACCACCAGTTTACAAATTATGCCTCCACTTTTGAGTCTTGCATAAATTATTTACTTTTCACTTCTTCATGTTCATTTACATAAGGGATACATATATTGGCTTGTGAATGCCTTTAAAAAATGAAATAAGGGGACACTTGCATAACAGAAGGAGTAATTCCATGTTATTCCACGTAGTGCCTCAATGATCAGAGACAAGTCTCAGCCTTCTCACCTAGAGAACAAAGACCGCAGTGCACACTTCTCAGACGTATCATGAGGAACAGAGGCAGTCTCGTATGTAAGCAAATAATTGCACAATTTGTCTCAGCTCAGGCTCCCCAAGCTGTTTGAATTCCCTTGTGGACATGGAACATGGAACCCATCACATGGCCCCTCTACTTTCTCTATACCATCAGGCTTCCACATCCTTGGCCTCCTTCCCTAGCCAGCTCAGATGCCACAGTCTTCCATTCACTTGTTCTGACAATTGCCCCAACTCAATTCCCTTGGTCTCATGATTCTGGGAAAATGCTAATCTTGAAGTCTGCCTCTTTTTCTCTCTCTCTCCCCCTCTCTTTCTTTCTGTCTGTCTCTCTCTCTCTATGTCTCCATGTGCAAGTTGTCATGCAGGACAAGTTCTTGGAAATATAAATGTTGAGGTGTAAAGCTTGTGCTTTTTAAAATTATTTCTAAAATTGTGAGGCAACAGGTACCCTCACATTGTTTCTGATTATGGAAATTAGCATACCAATGTCTTAGTGTCATTTGGAGCAATTCATCATATGTGCATTCATAAATATGTATGTACACGCATTTTATATAAATAGGATCATAATGCAGATACAGTTTTGTATCCATTTCATTTTTGTTGTCAAATGAATTGACATAAAACTGCTTATAATATTCACTTGATATGCATTAAGTTTCTGTAGGATATCTAGTAATGGCTTTCTTTTATTCTTGGCATTCTTAATTTGCTTGTTAATTGTGTGAAGTGTGAGGTGTGAAGGCTTATTAGGATGGAAGACAGCAAATGGAAGTCCTGGCCAAGAGAGTCTACTCTTGTAGTGGCAGCTACTGGCAGCTACTCTGTTCATTTCCCTTGGCCCTGGCAAACTTTGCTTAAGGATAGGGTGTCAGGGAGGCTGGGGCTGTGGAATTCATATGGGACTGACTTCTCAAAGAGGCATTATTTCCAGTATGTAGCTTCTCTTTTTAAATTTTTTTAATGATTTATAATCATTTTACAATGTGTGTCAAATTCCAGTGTAGAGCACAATTTTTCAGTCATACATAAACATATACATATCCATTGTCACATTTTTTTCTCTGTGAGCTACCATAAAATCTTATGTATATTTCCCTGTGCTATACAGTATAATCTTGTTTATCTATTCTACAATTTTGAAATCCTGTCTATCCCTTCCCACCCTCTGCCCCCTTGGCAACCACAAGTTTATGTTCTATGTCTAACAGTCTATTTCTGTTTTGTATTTATGCTTTGTTTTTTTTGTTTTTGTTTTTGTTTCTGTTTTTCTTAGATTCTACATATGAGCAATCTCATATGGTATTTTTCTTTCTCTTTCTGGCTTACTTCACTTAGAATGACATTCTCCAGGAGCATCCATGTTGCTGCAAATGGCATTATGTTGTCAGTTTTTATGGCTGAGTAGTATTCCATTGTATAAATATACCACCTCTTCTTTATCCAGTCACCTGTTGATGGACATTT